TGAAAGTTTACGAACAGCGGTGGCCTATCTACTTCAAGTGTTAAAGCAACATAATTTACAAATGCTGGTCTTTCTCTCTCGGATTTAATTTAAGGGACATGTCATCACCATTAAAAGTTTTAAAACCATGTTTCTACAATCAAATACATTTCCTTTCACTTTCTGGATTCTTCAAACCGTTTTAGTGGCACAATGAAAAAAAGAATTCACTTTACCAGAATCCCAAAACTTGTATCCGCCTGTATACAAGAACATTAGAATAAAATTGCATAAAAACGAAAATGCTTTTGATAAACTTTAAAATGCATATTGATTTATTTCTGAAATGCATTGAAAATCAGGAACTTAAGAATTTAAGCAATTGTTGATAATAGAAGATATATATATATATATATATATATATATATATATATATATATATATATATATATATATATATATATATATGTATGTATCTGCGGCTAGTCTCGGATTGTTTATATGGACGTGTTTGCGTGAACTAAAATGCGTACACCTGTATGTGTGTATATGCGTATGAGAGTGTCATCCCAAACAAACACAGTAGAATTACCCTCCCACCACCAAACATAGTCAAACAAGCATAAATAGATCCAATTTAAAAAAATAAACCAGTTTGTCTGATGATTGCACAAGCGTGAAACCCAGGGCCATAAACTCAAGTCCATACAACTGAGTATATATATATATATATATATATATATATATATACGAGATCTGTCTGAAATATAACGGGACTGGACTTGCTTTGTGAGATCTGGGTGAAAGAGGGATAATAATTAAAATAAATAAATTTAACTTATATTTGTGTTATATAAATAAATAAAGTGTCACTGACGACACTTGAGTTTGAACATAGATCGCCAGTGAGCAAACACATGCCATCCTATTATTGAATTTACTAGATCACGTGACCATAGATGAAATGCATAAGTAGGAAGTCACGTGACGTCTAATTGATTGTTCTTTCTAGTCTATCCTCTTATTTTTCGGATCACCATTTCTGCTCTATCCTCTATTACTATACGGGCCGCTATTCTCTACTCTACTCACTATACTATTTCTCTATTCAGATCACTATCCGGTGGACTATTCGAGCGAGTATTATTGAGCAAGTACTATTAGTGCGAGATTTTTCGAAGGTATTTGACACCAGCATTGTTCAACAGCGTACTATAGTTGTATCTGCGTTTACAAAGTCTCTACTACAACGCGCATTATGAAAGTGATAACGAATATTCGCTGACATCACAAAAATTTGATATTACATCCGTTGTGGTAAAACTTAATTATTTCCCAAACAACCTAATATTTAAATAATTTTTTTTTTCCATTTCTGGTCCTTTCTGGTAAAACGTAATTACTTTCCGAACAACTTAATATTTAATATTTAAACTTACATGAGCTTTTATATAATTTCTGGTATTCCCTATTTTCAAAAAACTTAATATTAATAGAATTTTAATTAAAAACGATAGACCAGGAATTAAAATAAAAAAAAATTAGTTACCTTGTCGTGTTTATACCCAAGGGAATACATGTTTGAATCCATTTCATTTTTCAAAACGCTTAGTAGCAAATACTTGTGATCATACCTTTTCCATTATTAAGATCAAGTAATAAAAAAATGATTATTATTGCATTATAGTGTAATTTCAAGTTGAAACGCCAGTACTCATACGATCACTGAAGTTAAGCAACTAGATAGGTGATCGCTTGGGAATAGCAAGTGTTGTAAGCTAGGAAGAGTGAGTGGCATAATAGATAACGGCTCGCCATTGTAGATCAGAGGGCCAAATTCCAGTTGGGTTCGTTATATTCATTTACATGCAATTATCCTTGGGAAAAGTATGAATCCACCTCTTCTTTCCCCCAGCTATGAGTTAATTAATAGGACTTGCATCAGTAAATTAATATTTTCTCCCCAAAAGTTTTACAATCTAAAAATATGTTCTGGCTTAAAATAACCCGCAAAGGGTTGATAAGCTGTAAAATAAAAATATATACCGTTATGAATTTCAGTATGGGAAAAGGCAAATTGAAATTAAATTAAAACTCAGATATATTTATTATTTTTTTAAAACTCAGATTTTTTTTTTTTCATAAACAAAAGAAGTCAAAATTTATTGAAACAAAACAAATTCAGTTGACCATTGATGACAGTTCCAGAACAACATAACTATAAACATTTTTTTCTATCCTCTGTCAGCCGCAATGATGGAGAAAGCACTACCTCGAACCATGGCCAGTGAGACACGCTGCAAGAGCCACTCCGTTTCGCGAGGCTCGTCCTTTAATCGAGACGCAATCGCGCCAATCCTCCGAAGAAACGCCATGGAACGAGGGCCAATAACCCCTGAAGTCTTCATTGCCACAGGAGTAGTTATTTATTCGTACAAGAGTACAAAATGTGGCTCAAGGCCAAAAAAGGGAAGGACGGTCTTCTTCTGTCTTAATCCTAAATTAAAAAAATCTAAGTGAAGAATTTCACTTAAATGTCACTTTGTGCATTACGTCATATTATTACGTCACTGTAATAATATTTTTAATATATGAAGAAAAATACAGAAAAAACAAACAAAAATTTTAACATGCAATTATGCTGTATTAATGTTAATATAAAGTCGACGTCGGATGTTTCGGTCTATTTAAGACCATCTTCATGGACATTTTCATTTAAACATAATTAACATTAGAACATATAAAAATTTAACACAAAAGACGATGGACTAAGAGCACAACTAATTTTAAATATATATTGCGTCTTCGTACATTACGTCATTTTATTACGTCATCCGAATGAACAAACGAAAAATGATATGATACCGAAGCTGAAATCATTTAAGAACTAAAAAACGAATATCATCAATAATTTTCCGATACGAATATGACTATTTTAGTTGGTGTTTAGTTATTAGAGAACTTTTCCTCTTTTTTGAAATCTGTGCTCACGAAACCAATATTGTAACATTTCTCGAATTTTGAGAAACCTTATTTTACCAATTCTTGTGAAATATAGTTCACTAGATTAAAAACCGCCCTATCGGACATTATTTAAGCTAGACCCTGTGGAGGGCTCTTCATTATGCTTTCATCTTAATAGGTAGGGAAGAGTAGATGCGTTAAGCAACAATAAACTACAAAAAACTCAAAACTGATCGCTTCTTTTAAGTATTGCTTTAATATTTAATCTTACCTTTTAAAAATTCAATGATAATTCTTCTGCTGCCATTTAAAGAAAGTTTTATGTACGTAGGTCCTTACCTTCGGTACAAACAATTATTTTTATTCTATGGGTGACTTTCGATGGATATCGCAATTAATTTTGATTATTCTCAAATTTATTTCTATGTTATAAAAATTGTTATCGTACTTTTTAGTACGATAACAATTTTTATAACTTAGAAATAAATTTAGAATTCGTCGCAAAAAATCACGTAAAAATCGCCGAAAACAATCGTAGTAAGGAAAACTTGGGAATCCAAAATTTCATGATTGTGGGTCCGGTTCCGAAACATAATGTTTTTTAATTTGCTCACAGAGTCGGTCTGATTCCAAAATGGTATGATAGGTTGAAGCTACAGATTATAGGAGTAACGTTGAAAACGTATGACACTGACATTCGCATTTATTCTATAGATTTTAAGAGGACCTGTCTACCTATGTTCTAGTTATATGGTTATAAAATCATGGTTTCTCCTGTAAACATTTTTATTACTATAATTTCAAGTAAAACAAACTTAATTAAAACTACCGCCACCTTTGCCCTACAAAAAAAAAATCAAAGGAAACATCCCCAAACAAATGACCCCACTAGAATGTTGATATCCAGAAGTATGGTGGAAAGCGTTCGATCACAAACGTTTAGGGAGTGTTTACATATTTTGGCTGCAAACTTTGGATGGAAATATGAGTTTCTTGCTAGTAAACAGGAAAGGTTAACAAAAACATTAAGAAATCATTTCTTGGCTATGGTTTTAATCAAGCGAGTTAATGAACGATTGCTACCTAAATACACATTATATGAGGGTCACTTCAAAAGTAAGACCTCCTCTTTCATTAAATTTGTCCACGATATCATAGGCAAATGTTAGTGTTATCGTAGGAGAAACTGAATTTTCCTATTCATAATAAATACTTTCATTCTTGGAACAGAGTGGCATTTGGGCAAAAAACTGTGAAAGTGTATATAAAGCAGATGTGTGTTAATTTCTTATTACGCAAACCTGCTGTCATTGACGCTTGTTGAACGTTTATGGAGACCAAATAATGCATGTGAGCAAAGGCAGTTTGCCCTGAGTTTCAGAATTTAGCCTTCTTATCCGCGAAATGTTCATCTCCAGCGAAAATGACTAGCTAATGTTGGCGGTTATATGGAAAATGGATTTTATAGCTAAAAATGTTCTCTATCGAACAGTACTATTGTGCTTCTTTTATTTCTGATAATTTTCGTGGAAATAAATGAGAAGCATTACTTTCGGAGCTTTTTCCTCGTGTGTGTGTGTGTGTGTGTGTGTGTGTGTGCATGTGCGCGTGTGTATTTGTCTTAAGAGGATGCACAGTGAGTTCTTCTCTCAGAACAATTTATTAATGTAGTTATTTCATTTTTTACTTTGTGCTCCCAATGTTCTGACCTTGTGCCAGACTTAGCATATTATGGAAAAATATCTACTCTAGAAAGTTCTCTCTTCTCTGAACGTCCCACAGTAGTGACCACAGATTTTTTCGTGACAAAGCTTGAAGCTTAAGAAAAGCATTTTTCAGCAAATCCACCGGAAGCGTCTTGACTTCCGGTTCTCTTCTAAACACACACACACACACACACACACATATATATATATATATATATATATGTATATTATATCCTCTGTATCTAATGATCGATATTATCGCTGTAGTTCCCTCTGATTCGTATCGATCTAGGCTGGCAATTGATTTTCCCGCGTTTTTCATCAAAATAACGCCTGTCACGTATATTCAATATGACCAACAATGTATCGGTGGGGAGTCTTGGGAAATATCCTGTTTTAAGAGACAGTGCACACATCTACCCACTGTCTGCTTTACATGGTCCCGTTTCTCTCCCAAGAAACCCATACTCACCCAGTCTCGACACCGCCCCCGCAACCACCCACAAGACCGAAACTCTTAATGTTGCCACCCGTCGAGTCGAGCCGTGTCTGAGTTGTATATATTATTCATCACTAGTCCCTGAATTCCGCGCCGTGAAAATATTGAATATAAACAATCAGCAAGTCAAAGAAAAAGTGGGACGGAGAACCGTGGAATGGTCTCCGCTTTCTCCTCTACCGTCTCGTATTGGATGAATGATTACCTCAAGCAAAGGTCAACGTTTTCTGAGCTTAATCAAACAGTGGAGTATCCTTTACCCCTGCCATCTGATTTTGGGCACTGCCTCTTCCTCCACTCTTTCTTTATGAGCCATCTCCAAGTATCTCATATTAATAGAAACTTCTATAGGCACGTTGTCTCTAGGTAGTCAACGCTGTGGGAAGGCGGAGAATAAAGTCGACGAGTACGCCTTCCGTCGACCGCTGGTCATGATTTATTTAAGAACACACGTGAGGCGAACACCGTTTAGAGTTTGTTGTCAGTCATCATGGCTTAGTAGTAACTATGTCAGTTTAAACAGAACAGAGTAATCTAGCTAAAGCAGATCGTTGTAATACGTTGTAAAATTCGGCCATAGTATTACAACGGTCTGCTCTAGCACAATCTAAGGAGAATCTTGTCCGGGGTTTGCCGTGTCTTTTTACATCGTAACCCTCCAACTCCCTAATCTCAAAGTTGCATTCTCTACCATTCTTCCTCTGAAATTTTGATACTTCTCCCGATCTTCAGAAAGACTTGACATTAATTTCCAAAGCTGGTAGCATTCATTATGCTGCTCTTTCGCCCTAGGTTGATTTGTGATTGACGTTACTATTTCTGTTTTCATGACCTAGAGATCGAAATTAACTCACCATTGCCGGCATTGGTTTTTAATGAAACCAAGGAATTAATATCTCTTTGCGTTTGCTTCTTATCGACGCAAAACATTATTTTCTCTCTGTTTTTTTTTTTTGTTTTTTTTTTTTTTTTTTGCTGTTTTAACAAACATCCAACCAACCATTTTTGCTTTTATTTATATATATTTTTTTATCGTTCTTTTTCATTTATAAAAAAAATTCATTCAAAATGCGTCCTTTTCATAAGCGCGTTCAAATAAAGAAATTTATGTTGCGGACAGGGATTTGAAGAAATACGTCTTTCCTTCAATAAATATTTCCTAAAATGTTTTTCATTTGTATTTTCTCCTTTCCGTTGAGGTCACGTTCTCTGTCTTGCTTAATTGAGATTAGTACAGTGTGCCGGTCGCAAATGAAATAAGTTCAAGAAAATTGGTTTGAAAGAATGTGTTGCACCAAGTTTTCCAGGAACAGAAAAAAAATAGCCTGAAATGATAACCTGTAGTCGAACACCCACCACTGACACAAGTGAGAAAACGTTACGATCTAATGCACGAAGGAGACCGACTGCCTTCTGTGTCTTTCTTGATAGGATTTCATTCAATTCTTTTCATTCATATATATATATATATATATATATATATATATATATATATATATATATATATATATAATATATATATATATATATAATATACATATATAATATAATATATATGTATAATATACATATATAATATAATATATATATATAATATATAATATACATATATAATATAATAGAGCGCATTCTAATAAGTACCGCGTATATAATATATAAATAATTATATATATATATATATATATATATATATATATATATATATATTTATATACACACACTTTCACATATAATATAATATATATATAATATATATATAATATATATATATAATATATATATATTTATAATATACATATAATATATATATAATGTATATAATATATATAATATATATGTATAATATAAAATATATATATATATATATATATATATATATATAATAAGTATAGATAGATAGATAGATAGATAGATAGATAGATAGATTTCCCTTACAATTGGAATTAAAACAGCATTAGTCTCAATAAATTTTAGTCTGTTTAATGAAAATAAACATTGAGAGCTCTTTGTGAGTCCGTTTTAACATTTAATATTTAATATTTCAAATTCTCTATTGTGTTAATAGAACTCGCTTGGATTATACAAACAGATTACTACCTCTGTGTGCGTGTATATATATATATTTCTATCAGACTCGATGAATTACTCATATATATATATATATATATATATATATATATATGTATATTATAAAATAATTGATTTAAAATATGTTTTTTTTCGCTACACAGTTTTAACCATGTTTCAAAAATGGAAGCTAAATGCCCCGAATTTAATTTTGTAATTAAATTAAAGACGTTAGTTCCATTTGATCCTCAAGCGAATTTTGGAGTAACTTTTAAAATTGATTGGTTTTAAAGACACAGCTAAAATCATAATTCATGTTTCCAAGGTTACAGATGAATCCAATTTACCAGACAAGGGTTGTCTCGGTGTCTATATTTTAATGTATTAATTATTGCTACGTTTTGGTAGTGGGTAGGGATGTATTTTTCAATGAAATCTAACATCCGTTAAAAGCGTGTCGTCTGGATTTTTAAATTTTTTTTTTTTTATTGTTAACGGCTAAAATTATTACGGCATTTTTTTCCTCGTATATTTAAAGATTTTTGGGGGTGTTTAGGTAAGAATACTTTTTATTTAACTACAATTTGAAATATTTTTACTTTTAATTTTTAATATACTATATTTCTTTCAAGAACAATTAAATGTAATTAGAATCCCTTACAGTTTGTAGAATTATTATCATATCAAGTATATTACAAATTTTTAAAAAATAGATTTGCTCCTAATCAAAGTCGAGCACTCTAAATCTTTATTTTTAACAAGAAGAAAATATGGAGAAAATTAATTTCGGAATTTCTCTGAAGAACATTCCTAATACCAACAAAAAGGAATATTTCGTAATATTAATGAAAAAAACAGAGGAACTCATACGTAGGATGAGATGGAGAGCTTACTTTTCTTTATATATATATATATATATATATATATATATATATATATATATATATATATATATATATGTTTCTGCACTCTTTCTTTCTTCATTTTTGAATGAGCTCGTTTCTCTCTCTCTTTCTCTCTCTACCTCCCTCCCTCCCTCCCTCCCCCTGAGATATCTCCCTTTAAATCTTTCGGATATAGCCACCTTCGTTTGCTCTGAAATATTTCTCTCACTCTTCCTGTATCTTTTCTCTGAATCATCTCTTCTCAAACTTTCCCACTCCCTCTTTCTCACTACAAGATCCCCTCTCAATCACTCTTAATCACCTCTCTCTCTCTCTCTCTCTCTCGCTCTCTCTGAGACATTCGTTTTTCTCTTTTTATCTGACAATTTTCTCACTCTCTCTTTCTCACCCAGTCATCTATCTCTCTCCCTTATTTTCTCTTGAACATTTTTCTTTTTTATCATCACCCCCGTAACTATTTTCTCTCTTTAGTCTCCCTCTCGTTATCACTTTCCCTCTTTCTTCCTATACTCTCCCTTTCTTCCACTATCATCTTCTCTCTCTTCCAGTAACATCATCTTCCTTCAAGTATCATCATCTCTTTCTTTTCCAAGCATCATTCTCTTTCTTCCTCTTTCTTTGAATATCTTCTCTAATTTAATCTTTAATTTCTTCATTTTTCCATTCTATTCGAATCTTCTTTTCTGTCACCACCTCAACTTGAAGCAGCAGGTATTCTTAAATTTGTCATCGTTCGATCCGTTACTAATAAAATAACGACATACACAGATCTCCATAATATTTATCGATTAACGGCAATATATTCATCGATATTTTTTCTCTTACTTTCCTTACAATTAACTTTTTGATTATTTCTTTGTTTTTACCAGTCACTAATTTTTGATAATGACAAATGTTACTAGTTACGTTGTCCTGTGGAAAACCTTCAATGGACAGTGTTGTTTCACCTGCCTTTAAATATCTAGGAAGTGTTTTAACAGAAGACGCAAAGTGTGACTCTGAAATCAGAATAGTGAAAGATGCTCTCCAAAAGCTAAGCAAATTATTAAGAAACAGGAAAATTTCGTTAGAAAATAGTACTGAACTGTTACGTAATATCAGTTCGCCTATATAGCAGTGAATGCTAGGTAATCTCACAGATGAAGAGAATTGAAACAACAGAAATACGCTCCTACAGGAGGACACTGAGAATACTATAGACTGAACACAGACAAAGTATTAGAGAAATGGAAGCAACCAAGCGCTTATATTTAACTTTAAAAAAGTGCAGTGGTGGACCTACATTTTGGGGGCCCTGGAGCTTGAAGATATGGGGTCCCTTCACAACCAGCAACAATAGATTCGATGATCTAATTGCCAAATGAATAGACTCTTGTGATTTCAACAAGCCAATATAACTGGATGCATGTCCCTAAGTAAATTTTGAAATTTGACCAATTACAGAAGAATTTTGAGACCATATGAAATGGGCATTAGTGCATATTCTAAGGCCTACATTAGCTACTTCAACCCATTGGTTTATGGTTCTATCACTAAAATTGTATTATTTTAATAACAAACACTTAAAAATGTCGGTTTTGTTAAAAAAATTCACTCACTGAAAAAAGTGGCTTTAGGGGTCTTTCTGGGATTGGAGGCACTTTATTAGTTTTATAGTAGATCCGCTACTGAGAAAGAGACAGTTTAAACTTATAGAGCCCATAATGAGGAAAGATGGCTTGGAAAATTTGATACTCACAGGACGGTCTGAAGGCAAGATGAAGAGATTGGTTTAGTTTGCTTTGTTTTACGGCATATCAACCTCAATGGGTTATTTAATGCCGACAACTTTTTTTTCGGGTAATTTTTTGCCAAAAATCTATTTCTGATAATATTTTTTTCTTCAAAAATTTATTTCTGGTAATAATTTTTGCCAAGTATTTCTGGTATTAAAACCTATTATTTTACACTTTCATAATGCTTTTTACCTCAATTTCAGGGTTAACTATTTGCCCATAGCTGAGACCCAAACAGATGCTGCCACCCGGTGTCAGGGTGGACCTGGGAACACCAGCAATTAAGAGGTGGTTCCACGCTCCTCAAAGCCTCCTGATCAGAGGCCTTACTGTTGAACGTAGTTTATCGTCTTACCCTGGACGCGGATGTAGTTTATCGTCATACCCGGGACGGCAAGATGAAAAGAGAAAAAAACGTGTAAACTACCTAGCTTAAACTTAATTCACATTTAAAATCAGTCCATGTAATTGAAACACTATTTACTAAACAGAATACTAGCAACATGTTTTTATGCACAGTAGACGTCCAACTCAGAGATACCAAAATTAAACAAGTACAAAAATTTAAATATATATGAAGTGTTCTAACAAAGAACGGAAAATGCGACACTGAAAACCAAAGTCGCATTGGGATAGCGAAAGATGCCTTCCAAAAGCTAGGCAGAGTATTAAGAGACAAAAAAAAACTTCGTTAGAAAGAAAGAAAAGAGTGCTGAACTGTTACGTGATGTCTGTCTTCTGATATGGCCGTGAATGCTGGACAATCTCTTCACGGATGAAGAAAAGACTTAAAGAAACATGAATGTCGTCCTATAGAAGGATGGTGAGGATACTATGGACCGAACACGTGAGCAACGACGTAGTTTTAGAGAAAATGGAAACAAAGAGGAAACTTATACCTAACATCAGGGAGAGAATGATGAAGCACATAATGAGGCAGGAGGGTTTGGAAAATCTGCTACTCACAAGACAGATTGAGGGTAAGATGAACTAAGAAAAACAATGCATAACCTAATGACCTTGAGTAAATGGATGGAGGAACAAGGTTTAGGAGAAATAACAAAACGGTAAAATTTATTAAGAGCTACAAAGAACGAGAAATTGTGGAGAGCCATGATCGCCTACGGCCTGAAAGAAGACTGCCTACTTAACAAAAGAGTTCATTTTGACATTCGTTTATGATAACGAGGCTCGGCACATCGAAAGTCTTCATGTCTCACCACTTCCACCAGCTGCGTGACCATAAAAGTATTTTCTCTCTTTATTCTCCTGAAAAAGAAGAAGAAAAAAAAACAAATCTGCCTGTTTCTGTGCTAAATCGACCATCAATTAAAAGCCGTTATACGTTTTACAAAAAGGTTTTTAAAACTGACCGCCAATTTAGCCCTTGAATTGTGGGCGGCACGTTTTTGCTCGTAGGCTTCTCATTTTACTCCTTCTGATCAAGCAATAACAAAAGCAACCTTCCTTTGTGAGCCACTTATGAAGCCGTAACTACAGTACCCAGCCGCCTTCGACCTTGAACATCCAACCGGTCAGGAACAAAACGCACGCCTAAAAAATAAAATAAAATAGACATTCAAAAGCATTAAAATGACGAGTGAAAGCCAAAAGAATATTTTCCCTTGTCTTCGTAAAATGTTAAACCTTATTCAAGTTTTTTTTCTTTAATTTTATTTTAACAGGGAAGGGATCAGGGAGAAGTGGCCGTTCTTGAGCTATTAATTGGAGCCGGGTCGCTGGCTATAATGATAGAAATTATAGTGTGAGTAAGTTAATTAGTTGTAACAATATTAAGCGTCGAGTCAAATGTGAATAATGCCTGCTTTGCTTCAACTATCAGTGACACAAAGTCGTGGGGAAGGAAGAAAATAATCTTATTATTAACATATCTCTTTTGTTCATATTATTATTTTTACTCCAAGAGAAGTGAAGGAAGAGAAAAGAGAGAGTGCTAGATGATCCGGAACGAAACAAGGTGAGGGACTAAGAAAGATACACAGGCGATGACACTGGACGTCGGTGTTTCAATCACCTTAAAGACCCGGATGTTGTCCGACATAATGATCGTTTCAACCAGCTAGCAGAACGTCACCCGCAAGGCCGGACAAAAGCAGGCTTCCGGTTGTGCCTATTCGGCGCCGGAAGTCAATTTGGAATTCAAATGGGAAAGGTCATAAAGAAACATCCGGGTTTTTCCCTATAAACATGGGATCGGGCATCGGAGCCTGTTTCAAACCGTCCAGCCATGATGGATCGTGTCGGCATAAGAGAAATAGAAATCAACTCGGTGTGGAGTTAGGTGGGACCTGTCGTGGGGAAAAAAGCGGAGAGTGTCGAAAAAACGGAAAGATAGGTGGTGAAAGGAAAGAAAGAAACGAATTTCTCACGTTTAATTAAATGCAGGAAATCCTTTATCAGTTTTTCACTCTAACATATTTTCCCTTCTTCTTCCTCCACTTTCTTTTTCTCTCTTTAATTGTTTGCCCTTCACACTTCTATAATTCGCTTCTTACTTTTCTTTCCCCTCTCGTTCGTTCTTTTCCGAACTTCTGTCTTTCTCTCTCTTATTTCTCGTGTCTTCACTTTTTTCATAGCTTGCAGTCTTCTCACGTTGAACGATTTATTCCACTCGTGTTTATTTTCTTTCTCCTCCTCCTGCTATATGATCTTTACTTCCACTATCTCTCAACGCTTCTTCATATGTTTATAATGGTCACCCTCCTCTTACTACTACTTATGGGCCTTTATCCAGATATTGTTGCTTCCCTCCTCCTCTCATAATTCTCATATTTTCTTTGATTTTTCCCCCTTGGTGTTTATTCTTCCTTTCGCTTTGATCGCCATCTTTACTCTTTTCCTCCATTTATTATTACGTTTCTTTAGTTTTTCCATCAATCTCTTTTCTCTTACCTACTGAGAAACGCAGAATTTTGGAGGCATATTTTCAAAAGAGACAAATACTCCTTTTTACTGATTCTTCTTATTTCAGCTCGATTATATATTTTTTTAAATCAATTCACTCTAAGCAAGGCAGTAATGTCACTGAGAAGCAAAGGGATGAAAGGGAATGAAAAAGAACCAAAAACCCAATCTTAAACAGGAAAAAAAGGTATAAATCTCTGTCCATGTTCAAAACACTGGGGAGAAGTGTGAACCGGGCGACTGGCGAAATATCTACCCCCTATTAAGTAGAAAAATTAATAATTAGTAAATCGGCCACACATTCCGCAAGCCTGCTTCTAGTTTTACCAGGCAGGCCTTTGACTGGAATCCAACAGGGAAGCGAAAAGTGGATCGACCAAAACAGGCTTGGCGCAGAAGTATTCACGCAGAGGTGAAGGCAGCCGGCACGACATGGGCTGAACTGAAGAGGATCGCCCGGAACGGCGTCCGTTGGAGGGGTGTTGTTGCAGCCCTATGTCCCCCAAGGAATCAAGAGGCATAGAAGACAAAATAAAATTTAATAGTTCAAGCGAAGACATTAGAAGTATAGAGTTGAAGTATAATTTAGAAAAAACAGAAACTCAGTACTAAGCAGGAAACGTGGATAACCCCTTTCTCCTGTTCAAAGACCGAAGAGGGTTGTGAACCGGACAATAGTGGAAAGAAATGTGACAAAAAGTCGATAAAAGTTTTCACATGACGTGTTTCGTCCTTTAGGACTTCATCGTTCTAAATTTATCGTTACACTGATGCGACTGCACATGCGCATGAAGGAAAGGGGGCGCTCAGAATTTTAAATTTAGATTTATTTAAAATTTAATATATGTTTTGCGCATGTGTAGTTGCATTAAGGTAAAGTTAAAAATTTTCCACTTTGTCATATGAGGTTTTTCTCGGGACACAAATTGTTAAATAGGTTTCAACTTGTTGCGGGTGTAATGCTGGTTGTATCTGGGTCGAAAAACACGTGTCTCCTGGTATATTTATCCCACATCAAAAATGGTGGACTCGGAATGTGAGTCCGGTAATAAAACG